AAATCCTACCCACTTTCTTCACTTTCTTCACAGTTTTCTGTAAGGAGCCAGTGGACGTTCTCTTAAAGAAAGGGTTCTCAAACTGTAGGTGAGTGTCCAAATGTTAGGCCTAAATGAACATTAATCAGATAGAATGGAGATAGATTTATAAAAGCATTGATATATTTGTCCCAAAATAACTGTAAAATACAAATAAATGTGGAAAATGACAAAGATGGTCTTGATTTGGTCTCGATGGGTCGTGATTTTGGTCTTGGCTTGGTCTCAACCTTTAAAAGCCTTGACTTTGTCTCAACCCTCAGAGGTTTGGTTTTGTCCTGGTCTCTGGACCCTGTGGTCCCTCTTGGTCTCGATTAGTGCAGTCTTGACTACAACACTACATCAAACGCTGTCAGGAAGGTCTCAAAAATCCACAAATAAATGTAAGGGTTGTCACAAAACTGTACAGTAGTTTGTAAATGCAAGTTCACCACTTGGCAAATAAATGTAACTGCACTGACATTTGTGAATCGTGTAACATTTTCTTTTGAGTGGAGAAATGCATTTTAAGCTTAAGCTTCAGCCTGCACCTTTTCGGTCTGTATATGTTAAATATGACTGTTTATGAATTAAAGTCAAAATATACCTGTGACCGAAATAAATAAATAAATAAAATAAAAAAATAAATTTGTGAATGTTGTTACATTTATTTGTAAGTCATGAAGTCTATTCGTGAATGTCGTTATATTTGTGTCTGGACCAAGAAATGTATTTGTGAATGGTGTGATATTTATTTGATAATAAAGACACTAACTTATCTCCATAGTTTTCAAGTGAACAGCTCCTTTTACCTTTAGTTCAGTAGAGATTGGCAATTCCAGGGTTTGAAATTATTCACATTATTCTAGTGAAAGTATATAGAGCTAAAAAACACAGTGGAGCACTTCTTGTAGTACGACATGAGGTCACAATTTTGGAATATTTTCTGTTTGAGAGAAAACCTGAGCCTAAATATGCAGGGTTTTGTGGGTTAAACATGCGTGAATAAAACAAAACACAACTCGGGATTTGTTTGTGATGAGGAAAGCACATTGTAAATATAGGTCAGAAAACTGTGTAACATAGGCACTTTGTAACTTATCCAGTGCTTGTCTCCATGGAGATGCTTTTGCTCTGGCATGTATGGCTCTATGTATCTTATGTTTATGAAATTACAAGTGCTTTTAGTGTGAATATATATATATATATATATATATATATATATATATATATATATATATATATATATATATATATATATATATATATATATATATATGTATGACTGTGAGTGGGCTTGCCTCTCTGCAGATCTAACCTGTCACTTGTCACAGTTGGGTCTGGTCAAGCAGTAACAGAGGGAAACAGGGGCAGATTTTTGACATTCAAATGTCTCTTATTCAGAAACTAGAGGAACTATTGAAATAAGTAAAGTATCAGAATGTAGGAAAGAGTTACACTCCAACAGGGTCAAGTTAAACCTGTGATATTCTTTCAAGTTGTTGACAAAAAATTTTAAAAACTCATGTCGGTAACAGAGGGAATGAAATATGCAGCACTTTTTGTTCAATAAATCCAAACAGTGATAACTCTTGGTTCTCACTTACATATCCTTAACAAACTGGTTTGAATATTTGCTTCATATAGTTTTCTACCATATGGTACAAGATTAGGTTGAAAAACCTCTTACTTTTTGAGTCATGAGATTTTTTATTAAGAAAGGTCATGGTAACGGAGGGAAAAGTAACGGAGGGAAAATTGTACAAATAAGTAGAAGGTGCAGGATTTTACATCATTTGTCAGTTTTTTTCTTCTGAAAACTTTAATATTACTTCAAAATGAAAGGAAACTATTTCTATAAAATATGTCAGTTCTTCCAAGCAAATTTTTATCATTTTAAATACTTTTATAAAAAAAAATCATGTACCTTCATCAACAGTTCAAAGATGGAATAACACAAGATATGATGAAATACATCCATTTATTTACATGATTTGCAGGTCTTTGAAATTTGGGAAATAATTTTAGTTCCATGTTTCATACATGGTCTGTTTAAAACATATGGAACTTTAGAACCAAAAATGGTACAGAAAAAAGGTCAACAGTTTCATAAACTAGAGTACATATGTATCTGTTCAATACATTTTTATATCAGATGCATTAACTTGAATTTTTGGCCTTGCTGTTTACTTCTGCTTGACGGGGCCCAATTACTTAGTGCACCTTTAATATTTTGAGCCGTAGTCTAATTGCACAATTTGGGAAAAATATTGAAATATTTTTGTGATTTATGTTTTAATAATAAAATTCTAGAAGTTCAAAGTTCACATTTAAATGTGTCCAGAGGAATCGACAAAAAGACTGAAATATGACCTGACAAACTAACACAAGAATCACATTTCAAAACTTGTTCTTGCAGATCTAAATTACAGAGTTAGCCATAAAAAAAACTGCAGCCTTTATGATTTGCTTCCATAAAAATTGCAATTTTAATTACGATTAATCTTGCAGCCCTAATGCGGATCTTTTTTTTTACAGTGTTTTCTCAGCTCTCCTCCCATAAATCTGTTCTCTCCATCTGCTCTCCCTATTTCTGTCTGTCACCGAGCCACGAGAACGAGTGACCAGAGGAAAACTAAACCAATAAAGAAATAAACTGAAAAAGAATGTTGTGTGGTGTGGAGGTTGCAAAACAAGCTGACTAATGCTGAAGTTTATCCCAGAGGACAACGGTGCTCTTTTAAGTATAGGTGAAAAACAAAAGCAACTTTTTCTTATATCACATTCTCACAGGCCAATCAGACTCATGTCACTCTGGATATGTCACAAGTTACCAAGCCTTATTTTTTATTACACTTGCGATCATTTTTACCAGAGGCTGCACACACTGAAGCAGCTGGATGGAGATTTAGCAAGCCAGATGCCCTTTCACTGTCTCTGGAATGCAAAAACTGCTGGTGGGTGTGTGGCCTTTTATAAATAAAGTTTGATTGTTTGGTACGAACAGTGTGATTGGTCTGTAGGTATCAACGCTTCTACCTCCGCCCCTGCAGCCTGTTGTTGTTTTTTAAGCAGAAACACCTAGCTTTAATCAAGGAAGTCTTGCTTGATGTCACATAGTACTTGAAACTGCAGTGGCCACTGTAGGCAGCACACACTCACTTTCTGATTTAACTAGTTCATACTAAAATTGCCTAAAAGGACTTGGAACAGTAGAAAATGCTATTTACACACCATATGTGCAGTTTTAGTACCAACAAAGAGTTGATTTAGTGTTTAGTTTCACTGTATTTTGGTTTAATTTTTTAAGTTTTATATAAAATACTGATCTATAATGATTCTAAAACTGCGATTAAAAGCAGGGTGACCAGATTTTCAAAATCAGAAACTGGGACACCACCGGTTTGTGGTGGCTGGTAATAATAAAACTGTGAAACGAGCACAGAACAATTGCTCTGCACTCGGTCCATTCATTACTTATTTATGACTAACATGTGAGCCAGTATAGTCACATTTTCTTTGTGTTTTGGTCATGTTTAAGTAGCTTTTCTGTAGTTTACCTAAACAAATGACAATTTATGCTTTCTTTAATTTTGGCAGGGATCAAATATGTCAAAAAATAAGGACACCTGGGACATTTCTTGTACAAAACTGAGACAAATCAATGGTTTTGTATAAATCTTGTTGGCTGTTCTAGACGTGACTTACGAGTGACTTAAGAAAGAACTCCAGGAGATGGAAAGGTCTGCGTACAGGTCTTTATTTTAGCGTAAGCAGTTTACAGGACTAGATTCGAGTGATTACAGAATTCGGTCACAAGCGTCTCAAAATGACAGCAGAGTAGACAGCTCTTATACATGACATCCTGTTAAAATATTAACTTATTGATTAACTCGTTTTAGCAGGATAGTTCACAGACATCTCGATCAACTTGTTTTGCAGAATACTTCACAGGCATATTGATCAGGCTACTGGGTTCATGTACGCCCCCTTTTGGACCTTGATTTGGGGCAGCAACCAAGAGAAAACAATAAGGAACATTTTGATATGATTAAAATTAGAGTGAAACATCAACATAAGAAAATAATTCTCACAATCTGCTGGGACAAGGGACACAGGACTCAAAACTGGGACTGTCCCGGGTAAATAGGGACTGTCCTAATTAAAAGTGACCAGTAACTATAGTCCTTTTTTTATTGTAAACTTTGTCTTTGTGCCTGCGTACTGCCATGATCACAGGTGGAGCAGTGTGGCGCTCTTGTTATGGCCACAGGCCTTAGCTCTAATTTGTTTGTGTGATTTTTGCCGACTTCTCCTGATTCCTGCTGCAGGAGCTCTGGTTCGTGACTGGTGGGCAAGTCTATGCCCACCTCACCTGCAGCCACCACTCCATACTTAAGGAGATTACCAGCACCTGTTCGGGGCTGCTGGCCTTGGTGGCCAATATGCCATTTTGTTTTGTGTGTGTGTGTTTGTGAGTTCAGTTTAGTTCAGTTTAGTTCAGTTCAGTTTTTGTTTGTGTGTGTGTGTTTGTGAGTTCAGTTTAGTTCAGTTTAGTTCAGTTCAGTTTTGTTTTGTGTGTGTGTGTTTATGAGTTCAGTTCAGTTCAGTTCAGTTTTGTTTTGTGCCTTTATTGATTTGGTCACTCGATTCTGTTTGTGGGTTTATGTAGTTTAATTTGGGGAACTTGTGTTATAGTTTAGTGTGTGTCCCTTAATTTTACCACTCGTTATTTTGTAAGTCTACGTGACCCCTTTTGTGGCACAAAACCCGTTGTCTGTAGTGTTGTTTCTTAGTTTGGGTTATTTTCTGTATATTTTAGTCTCTTTTGTTAATTTACCTTTACATTCCTGTTAATTAAACATTATTTAATTTATTCCATTTTACATCTTGGTTTTATTTTTGTTACTTCTCTCACCCCAATGAGCTGGGTCGTAACAGCTCTAAGTCTTGTACAACAGTGCCCTCTGCTGGCGGAACAGGAGTAACACATGCGCCGCTCTTCTGACATGTTTTGAAGTGAGCTCCGGAAGCTAACAGCAATACAAGCACATCCACGGTATTTATCTGCATTTTACGGACTTTTCCAGTAACTTTTCCAGTTTGTATAAATCATAAGACATTTGTGTTTTAGCAATCTTGTCTACCGTTGCCTCGATTAATCGGTTTGGTAAAACATGCTAACAGGCTATTTAGCGTAACAGCACCGAGCTAAGGAAGCTAAGAGAATGCTAACGGCTAAGGACGAGTGACAGATCAGTGAACTTCTCCTGAACTACAAAAGATCGGCAGTGTTGGGGAGTAACGTAATCAGAGTACAAATTATGAGTAACTGTATTCAGTTACAGTTACTGTTTCAGTGAGTGGTAACTGGGTTACAGTTACTTTGTTGAAATAAATGGATTACACAGAGGTATTTTCCTGTTTTTGGTAATTCCACTCATTGCCGGGAACTAAACCAGGTCTGTATGTAATCTGTAATCTGTAATCTGTAGGGGAATACATTTTAAAAGTCACCTTCCCAACTCTGCAGATCGGGATGCACATTTAAGAAGCTGGAAGGTTAGACAGAAATAGAAAATGTAAATAAAGCCATGTTACAACTAAGTTAAGTATAGTTACGGTTTAAGTAGATGTGAGTTAGTTTGGTTAACATATATTTAAAACTAGAGTAAAATGCAGAACTTCCTTCAGTCATATTGTTCATTTTTTACAATTGTTTGTTTGTTTGTTTGTTTAAAGATCTGCACCTGACTTGACACTGATGCATGTCCAGATTATTTTTAGAGCATGGTAAAGTCTGATGGGCAGAGGCACATAAGAAAACAAAGCAATATACCAAAACAGAGCATAAAACAGGTCAAAACTATTATTACAATTACAGCAGCAATTATGTTGCGTACTTAGGGTGACCAGACGTCCCTCTTTACCCGGGACAGTCCCAGATTTGAGCCCTGTGTCCCCTGTCCCGGCAGATTTATCCAAAATTACTAATTTGTCCCAGTTTTATACAAAAAAATGTCCCAGGTGTCCCTATTTTTGACCAATCTAATGCCTGCCAACAGTAAAGAGAGGCCTAAACTGTCATTGGTTTAGACAAAATATAGAAAAGTTTCTTTATAATGGCCTAAACATAAAGAAAATGTGACTATACTGACATTAGTGCCGAGTGCAGAACAGTTTTCCTTAATTACGCACTTGTTTCACAATTGTATTATTACCAACCACCCCAAACCAGGGATGTCCCAGTTTTTTATTTTGAAAATCTGGTCACCGTAGGTCAGAGGCACATGAGCAGTATACTAAAACAGATTATAAAACCGGTCGAAAAAACAATTATTACAATCACAACAATTATGTTGTGTACTCCTCAAATTAATTGAATTTACTAAATATTTGATGACAATTACTATACCACAGGGGTCTCCAAATAAGGCATTTTTGAATTCTGATATTGTGGATAATAAGTAAAATTATGTAAATTATTATGATGCCTGACTTGGTGCACTGATAAACAGATAATAGTTAATATAGTTTTTTAGGCATCTAACTGTTCCAAATCTAAGGCTTGTTGTGGCTCTTATTTTTACGCTTATATTTTGTGACTGCTGAAAGTGGGAGCTCTCTGGCATTTAAAGGTAGCTCACTGGAGAAAAAAGTTGGGGACCCCTGCTATACTACATGCACCTTTTGTAGAAATGTAGTAAGATAGTACATGTGTAGTAATTTTCATGCACAAAATAATAGTGCCTTCTTTATTTTGGCTTTATCTTATTAGAATAAAGCTCCAAATGAAACTGTTCAGGAAAGCTCAAATTGTGTCCTGTTAATTAGACTTTTTGCAAAATCCCTACTTGCTCAAATTAGTATCTAGTTATGATATTAGTCTCTCCTCTAGACTATTCTACTTGCACATAATTTTTAAAAACTCTCACTTTTATTGTATTATGTCTTTTTTTTTTCTTGTGTTGCAGCTGCGTCAGGATGGACTTGGGCAGTCAGACGTCCACAGTTCAGTTGGTGCTTTTGGCCTCGAGCTCGGCCCTCACTGCTCTGTTCTATTCGATCTACAAGAACAGAGCCACCACCGCCAACAGACTCAAGGTCAGACCAGTCCCAAATCATATCGCAGTGTTTGTGTGTAGGTGGAGTAACAGGTTATATCTAATCACACATTTGGGTAAAAGTACCACTAACCGAGCTTTTTCATTCATTCATTTGCATTTTTAAGCATTTTTTGTGTAAATATTGAAACTTATTTGATTCAGATGGACACATTTTTACATTGGGCCACCATACCGAATAAGCTTTGGAACATATGGCCCCCTGGGTTAAGGGTTGAGGTTAAAATGTCACAAAAAAAGTGAGCTAAAATGTACCACAGAAATGTAGATGTATCACTTTACTGAAGTTGATACTGATTCTGATCTTTTTGCAGCTTTTAGATAACTTTGTTGTGTCATCATGCATCAGTCAGCTCAGTGTTGAAGCAGTTTGAGAATTCTAAATACTAAATTTAGTGTAGCTGTCCATTGTGAAGTATTCATTTATCATTATAGTGTGATGGACTAGAAGTGATCCAGCAGCTTAGTCAGGATTTTCTGGTTTTTCATTTCGTTCTGATTTCTAACTGATTTCCAACTGTCCTTTTTTCCCCCCTCATGAGCTATATACACTTTATTCTAATTTTATACATCATCAATTGAATTAATTCATGAAAGAGATGATTTTTTTTTTTACACTAAAATGATTTCTAACCTGTCTCCTACGTTTTTACAGGAAGCGAAAAAAGTGTCCATCGACCAGGACCTGAACGAGCTCCTGTCTGAGACCCCGGGGAGATGCGTCCCTTATGCCGTTATAGAAGGTGAGCGCGGCGCCTCAAGTGTCGGAGATGAGCTTGTTTTTCGATTGTAACAGGTCTTATAATAAGTTATTTGTTCCATCTCAGGTGCGGTGAAAGCTGTGAATGAAACCCTGAGCAGTCAGTTTGTCGATAACTGCAAAGGTGTGATCGAGCGCCTCACACTGAAGGAGAAGAAGATGGTCTGGAATCGCACCACTCACCTCTGGTACTAACTCCTTTGACTGCACTTTAAAGAACTACAGACTGCATCAACCAGCACGGTTTAGGTCACAGTGCACATTAGACATAAAGAGAGAGACATAAAAAGCTAATAAAAACAAGATATAAAGATGTTACGCATCAGATTATAACCAAATAGAGCTTTTTCACAACAGCTGGAAGTGCCGCCCTGTAGGACTGCAGAACTTCTGGTTAATGGTTTTCTACGGCCAAATGTCTGTGGATATGTTCTGTGTATTCTCCACCAGGTAGCATTAGAGAACTACTGAGCTAAACTAAGTCTAAGTTTACACTGAAATGTATCACTATATTGGAAACGATCTGCGTCCAGACACGTTGTTTCTGTGTCCACAAGCCTTCCTTGAGCATATTTGTTTACATTTTACAGAAAGGAAACTTAAAACCGCATGGCTAATTTGCATAAACTAAGCGCTCAATGGACATATATTCTAGCTTCTTAGCGTTTTGGCGGTGAATTACTTTGCAGCGCATAGACCTACCATATTTTCCGGGCTATTAGACGCTCTGGATTATAAGACGCACTGTCATTAAATGGTCTATTTTCAAACTTTTTTTAACAAATAAACAGCATAGGATTTTAAAGGAAACACAACAGTTGGATGGGTCAGTGGGACTTTGTTCACGGTGACTCTGGGCTTTGTTCAGTTGTGGCATGTAGGGAGGGTGCTGTCTGGGACCAACGGATTGTCGACGTGTTCGCAGTGACTCAGTTCAGTTGTGGCTAGAAGTGGCACATTGCACTCGCTTTTTCGGTTCGTTCCTACGTTCCGTTCCTCGTCGGCGTGGAGTGATGAGTGTGTCTGCGGGTGTTTTTCGCTGCGCGCTCGCTGTCTGCTCCGTGTGTGTTTGTGTGTTCTGCAGGTGGTGCAGCTTTGTAGTTTACTGAAGTCGTGCTGGGACACCTGAGTGGATTTGTGTATAGGGTGCTCTGGATTGCGGGGCACGCGGTCGTTTTTTGATGGGGTTAGAGGCTTAAGAGTGCGTCCAATAGCCCGGAAAATACGGTACATCGGTGTATCAGCGTTTTCAGGCGTCCACACAGTGCTGAATCAGATCTGTACTCAGATGAATTCGTGGGAGCTGGTGGCACCAGATCGTTCTGTCTCTGGAGCTGTTTTCAGTCGGATTAATGTGGACGAACACTGCATCCACAACGAAAACGGCTCAAATACGTATTGGTGTGGATGGGGTCTAATGTAATGGTAATGAATAACGTAAATTATAATTAATTCATTAAAAGTAACGTGGTAACTCAGACTCATTCTAGAATTAAAATTAAAAATTGATTTCATTATGTAGGTGTTAGGATATATAGAGAGATTTGTGCAGTTTGAATACTAGAGATGTTCACAGTTTACATGTCCAGCATTTAAACTGCACAGATTTACGTATCTTTGTTAATATCAACATCATGAAATTGATTATTTATTTACTTTTTTTAAATTCTAGAATCAGTCTGAGTTAACAGTTTATTTTATTTGTTTTATTCATGACCATAACCTTATTTTGCTCAGTAGTTCTCTAATGCTAATTGTTTTTAAGCTTTTGTCTTTCTTATCTTAATAGTTGTGGATAAATTCTTCATGTTAGAATGTTTATCCTTTGTGGATCTTGTTGGTTGAAGATTTGGTGATGGGGCAGATTTATGAAGCTGGTGGAGAATACGCCAGACATTTCCACAGATATGTTGCCATAAAAAAACATTGACCGGAAGTTCCACACACATCCTACTGGGCCGGACTTCCAGCCATTGTGAAAAAGCTCTGTAGCTAGTTTCCATTTGCAGTCCCTTGTAGATCATCTCTGTCTGCATAGAGCAAGTTATGTGATATAATAAGTCTAAAAAGTATTAATCTCTCTGTGAAACTTTAGTTGATTAGTGAATGAAGTAACAAATAAAAATTAAAGCCGTGCGCGGCGATGGTGGCCCTCGCCCCGGGCGCGCACCGCCCCCCCCTGGCGAATGCCGGGGACTCGCGACCGCCCCGACACACATTATTCTAGAGGCAAAAGTGTAAAACTAGGGCATAGGTCTTACTGACTTTTATGATGAGGAGTACGTCAGTGAATGTTTTGGCAAAGTTTTACAAATGAATGTAAAACAAATTTTATGTCACACAATAATAAATTGTGTGCATTCATATAGGTGGCGCTGTATCCCTGATAACTGTATTTGACATATCAATGGAATAAGGGTCATGTAGTGTATAACTGATAGAAATGTCATCACAATCGGACAAAACATGTGCATATAATAATTTTTACAATATTTTTTGGAGGATTCTCTGTGCCCCTGCTGGCCAACCGTGAAAAATACACCATGACTGTAATAGACATTTTTGCTTATAATCATGCATAGAATTTAACCCCCGACTTTGGTCCAAGTCCGATAATGTTGACATTTCATGTCTAAGGTAGGGGGCGCTATACTGTTCACCTTTCATATGTTTTATAGTTTATTATATTCAGACCAATATCCCGCATTAGTGATTCAAATTTCAGCACAATCGAACTAAGCATGTCCCTGTAATAATTTTAAAAATATTTTTGGGGGGATTCTTTGCGCCCCTACTGGCAAACCGTGAAAAATGCATCATGTCCGTAGTAGACTTTTTTGCTTGCATTCATACATAGAAATTAATCCCCAAATTTGGTACAAATCCGATAATGTTGAAATTTCATGGTAGGGGGCGCTATAGAGTTCATTTTTCATATGTTTTATATTGTATTATATTCAGGCCATGATCGGGCATTAGTGATTCAAATTTCAGCACGATCGGACTAAGCCTGTGTGTGTAATTATTTTTTAACTATTTTTTGGGGGAGTCTTTGCGCCCCTGCTGGCCAATAGTGGAAAATGCATCATGTCCGTAATAGACTTTTTTGCTTGTAATCATACATAGAATTTATGTCCCGAATTTGGTACTAATCCGATAATGTTGACGTTTCACGTCTATGCTAGGGGGCGCTATAGAGTTCACTTTTATTAAATTTCATATTTCATCACATTCATACCAGCATCACGCAATTGTGATTTGAATTTGAGTTCTCTAGGACAATGCCTGTGGCCGTGACAGGTCACCAAAGAAACAGGAAATGAAGGCATTTTTCGGCGGCGTGCTACGGGGGAGGAGTATCCCCAAAAAAGTTGAAAATTTCTGTGAGTTTATGTCTGTAGATGTGACATGTCAAATCTGAGCTCATTTGGACCAAACCCCGGGGACTTGAATCTTTTTGTAGACCCCCAAGTCAAAACGGCGGCGAATGTTTGATCCAATATGGCCGACTTCCTGTTCGTCATAGGGGTGCAGAATGATTGACTTTTTTGCTTGTAATCATGCATAGAATTTAATCCCCAAATTTGGTGCTAATCTGATAATGTTGACATTTCATGTCAATGGTAGGGGGCGCTATAGTGTTCGCACTTCATATGTTTTATAGTGTTTTATATTCAGGCTGAGATCACACATTAGTGATTCAAATTTCAGCACGATCCAATTAAACATGGGCATGTAATCATTTTTTAACTATTTTTGGGGGAGTCTTTGCGCCCCTGCTGGCCAGTGGTGGAAAATGCATCATGTCCGTAATAGACTTTTTTGCTTGTAATCATACATAGAATTTATGTCCCGAATTTGGTACTAATCCGATAATGTTGACGTTTCACGTCTATGCTAGGGGGCGCTATAGAGTTCACTTTTATTAAATTTCATATTTCATCACATTCAGGCCTGGATCACGCAATTGTGATTTGAATTTGAGTTCTCTAGGACAATGCCTGTGGCCGTGACAGGTCACAGAAAAAACAGGAAATGAAGGCGTTATTCGCCGGCGTGCTACGGGCGAACCGTAAGGAGTATCCCAAAAACATGGAAGATTTGAGTGAAGCTATGTCTGTACAGAGGAAATATACCCTTGACCTTAAACCATGACCTTAAACTAAAGAACTGTGGTCTTCGTGTGATAAAGAGTAGAGGGGTGTGCAAAAATATTGAAATATCGATATATCGTATCGTTTAATGTGATGACACAGTATCGATATTGTGGGCTGCTCTATCGATATATCACCAAGAGTATTTTTGGTTTATTTTACTAAATGATTTTGTTACAGCTACAGTTTCGTTGTTTGTTTAGTGGAAGGAAACTCGTTTGACATTTTCGCTGTTTTGAGGATTAAAATGTTTGTGTTTCATATGAACTTTGCACAAGAAGTGGTTTAACAAAGATTTTCCATGATTTAGCCTTTATTTTTTACTGAACCGTATCGAATCGAAAGCGCACTGTATCGAGGTTTGTCTCATATCAGTGACTTCTTAACAACACTCGGCCTCAGTCAACAGGGAAACGTGGCTCTTGCCCCGTCTGGGAGTATGACATCATCACATTCTAGAACCTGAAAACCTCCCGGTTCCATCAGGTTCACGGCGCCGATGACATCATACATGTAAAGTTCCATAAAGCCTTGTTACCATGGCAACTCCGGAACTCAAAGCTAAACTTCAAAGCTTTGTGGGCTTTAACTCAAAGCTTTGTTTGGCCTCGGGGAGATTATAAGAGTAGGCAAATCGCAAATCACAAATCGAAAATCACATATCGCTTAACGGAAAAGGCACATTTAGCTGAGCTTGACACAGAGCAAATCGTACAAAGATTTCAAACAGTAGACTTCACAGAGGAGACTTTACAGAGTAGATTTCACAGAGTAGGTCGCACTTTTTATCTGCGTAACAGTAAGTACAGCAACACTTACAAAACAACTCAATTATAAAACAAAAATGGCCAGAAATAACAGAGGAAATATACCCTTGACCTTAAACCATGACCTTAAACTAAAGAACTGTGGTCTTCGTGTGATAAAGAGCAGAGGGGTGTGCAAAAATTTTGAAATATCGATATATCGTATCGTTTAATGTGATGACACAGTATCGATATTGTGGGCTGCTCTATCGATATATCACCAAGAGTATTTTTGGTTTATTTTACTAAATGATTTTGTTACAGCTACAGTTTCGTTGTTTGTTTAGTGGAAGGAAACTCGTTTGACATTTTCGCTGTTTTGAGGATTAAAATGTTTGTGTTTCATATGAACTTTGCACAAGAAGTGGTTTAACAAAGATTTTCCATGATTTAGCCTTTATTTTTTACTGAACCGTATCGAATCGAAAGCGCACTGTATCGAGGTTTGTCTCATATCAGTGACTTCTTAACAACACTCGGCCTCAGTCAACAGGGAAACGTGGCTCTTGCCCCGTCTGGGAGTATGACATCATCACATTCTAGAACCTGAAAACCTCCCGGTTCCATCAGGTTCACGGCGCCGATGACATCATACATGTAAAGTTCCATAAAGCCTTGTTACCATGGCAACTCCGGAACTCAAAGCTAAACTTCAAAGCTAACTTTGTTAGTGGCGAGGGCCAATAAGGCTCATGAGTATGTGGTAATGGTTCAAATCTGATCATTACTGAGAAATTTGTTTTCATCAAGAAAAAGACATGTAATCAAATAATTGCAAAATATAAGTTTATTTCATTCCAGGCAAAACTATAACATCTCCACAGTAAGAAGCAGGTGGCAGACCTTTGCTCAGAAAGATTACATAGTGCACTGTTAGGTTTGTTATTTGAGTTTTTGTGTCTGATTAGATTTGGTTATATTGTATTTCTCAAACAGGGCAGCATAAAGTGATTGAAGCAGCTGCAGAGTTGTGTGAGAGTGTTCCATAAATACCCAGGTTCACATGCGGCGTGAGGGTCAGGCTAAAACCACAGGGCGAGACGGTCTGGCCCTGCGCCCGGTCACCCCAGGGTGCCCCTCCGTATGCCCGCGTCACATGACTCATTTAACAGTGACTCATTAGAAATGAAGAAACGTGATACAAATATTAGATGAAATGGTTTACAGTGTATGGTCAATGTGTAACTACACTAACTTCACTGTTCATATGTGGTAATAGTAACATAACATAATATCTGTTTAAAAGTTTAAAAGCAGCAATATTTTACTGCTACTACTATAATACTACTAAACTCTGATACTTTTAGTTGTCATATATTGAGGACACATCATAAAGAGAGCTCTTTTGGGTTTAGTACGAGTTGGTTTTAGTGGTAGGATCTAGCAACCCTGAGTGAAGAGTTCATTCTGTCATCTGACTGAAAATGTACTTGAAAGTAATTAGATGTATTTATTTATTTATTTAGTCTTTACAGAGTTAAAGACTATTCTTCCTGGGGTCCAAATTAGAATCTAATTTACAATAAAACATTACATTATAGAAGTATAAAAGTGAACACATAACACAGTCCTGTTACTTTGCACAATACATCATAAACATAATATAGCCATAAAATATCCAGTCATTTGAAATGAATATATATTGACTTCATGCCTGTGAACAGTTACGGTTTGGGGGAGTGTGTTCCAAAGCACTATCACTCTGTACATAACAGTTCCTTTCAGGGCATTAGTCCCGGGCAGTGGACATGAAAAATGTCCCTCAGAAGCATGTCTTGAGTTAAAACCATGCTGATCACTAGAGGGCAGTAACTGTGCAAACAGGTTCAGTGGACTTTGTAAAGCAGACAGATTATTTGTTTATCAGTACAGTGGATGTGTGTACAGCCTGAGTGCAGAAAGCACCACTGTCTGTGTGGTGAACATGAATTTGCAACACTAACGAGCATTTTGTTCAGCACTAAAACAGTTTATTACCGTGTGATAAAATCAGTTCTGATGCTAAATGAACTTTAGTGAGTCTTAATGACCTGCATGTGTTAAATGCAGGTGAGGGAGTAAATGACAAAGAAATGTCTCAAACTTCAGTAGCTGGACATCCACTCATACATGATCCATACACCTATTCCCGCCCCCGAGAGAGTCTGAAATCTACTGAAATCCTACAAGACACTAACATGACACCAGACATGACAGTGGCTCTTTCTGCAGGATACATGCTCAGTAGAGCGAAGTGATGTGGTCTGATAATCTCTACACATTTTTACCAAACAAAATAAGGCTACAGCTGACTGCACACTAAACCAGGATTGCCTCTAAATAAGATAAATAATAAATAAACACATTCACCGTTTATAACATGCAAATTCAACATGCTCGTGCTTTTATTGCATGAAAAATATGTCATCTGTATCTCCACTGACATACCAGACTGGAACATTTCTGGCAGGACAATTACTCCAAGGAGACAAGCAGACCAGAGAACTTAACACGTAGTTCACCTTCGTAGATAATATTTATTCAGCACATTGTGAACTCAATAAAAAATCTATTTATGTTGTTGATGCTTTTAATCATTTGGCCTTTGTGTCACTGTAAACTGTTGTGTTTATAAATTAAAAAGTAATAATGCAGTTTAAAAAAAAAAAAAGAAATTCTCCATCACGTTTAAATAAATACATCTTTAAGTTTATTTCTCTTTTCTTCTTGCAGGAACCACACAGAGAAAGTCATCCACCAGCGCACCAACTCCGTCCCGTTCGCCATCGGCTCCCTGGACGACAGCGTCTCAGTCTGTGTGCGGGTCGTGCGCCCCCTGGAGGCCTCTGAGCTCGAACTAGAGACCACCTACGAAAACTTCCACCCCGCCGTTCAGTCCATCACCAGCACTATCGGCCATTTTATCAGCGGAGAACGTCCCAAAGGCATTCACGAGGTAGAGGAGATGCTACGAATCGGGGACAGCATCACTGGAGTCGGCGAGCTCGTTCTTGACAACAACCTTATCAAGCTACAACCACCTAAAGAACACTACTGCTACTTCCTTAGCCACTTGGATTACGACGCATTACTGAGAAAACAAGAAAGTAGCGTTAGAATGTGGAAAATTATCACGATTATCTTCGGTATGGCAGCCTGCTCGACCCTGGTCTATATCTTGTGGAAGAAATTTGCTCATTATCGGCAGAAAAAGCGCGAAAGGGGTTTGATGGAGGAGTTCGAGGCGCAGCAGAGACAGAGGATACAAGATCTGAACTTGGATGACACCGCCATTTCACCCTCCAGCTGTACCGTTTGTTTAAGTCGGGAAAGAGATTGCGTTTTTCTCGAGTGCGGACACGTGTGCTCCTGTCTCCAGTGCTACGAATTTTTCCCCACACCCAAGAAGTGCCCCATATGTAGAAGACACATAGACAGAGTGGTGCCATTGTACCATAGCTAAAGAAAAAATTCTGTGTTTCCCGTTAATAGAAAAGACTACAGTGGCCTCCCCATAGTCTAGAATTCTCCCACATAGTCTAAAAAGAACATGGACTAGACTTTGGCATATTAAAAGCTCACTTTGTCGCTTCATTCATAACATAAAAAGTAACTAAACTGTTACAAAAGACTGCTGAAATATGAAGTACAGGCAATAAGTGACGTTTATAGGGCCTATATTACGCTATTTTATGTTATGTTATGTTTTCTCATCAAAAACATGCCCTTGAGTTTTATTTCATTCAAACATGTGTAAATCCTGCATATTTAGACTGGAACAGAGCATTTGGAGCTTTGGAGATGTAGACAGAATAATAATAAAGGATTACTCAAACACGCGTGAATGAAATAAAACACAACTCCAGACGCGTTTTTAATGAGATAACAACGTTCTAAAATAGCTAAACGCTCATATGAGTCAATTTTGTGTAATATAGGGCCTTTTAAACTCCACAAATTGTATGAAAGTGAAGGAAATGAAGGAAATTCTGAATATACAAAGTACAGAATGTAATTTCACAGGCCAATAATTTTAGCAGTTCTTGTCTCAGAATGCTTAGAAACAGATCAAGATTTTATATTTAATGTTTTATTTTTGTTCTGTTTTCAGGTTGAGCCGTTCACTCCCAAAGAGAAGTCAATTTGCATCTTGGAATCTGCTCGCACACAGTCACTCAAGACTGAGCAGCCTTCAGTACAAAATTTTGAAAAACTTGACCAGCTGGCAAACATATTTGGACTTGGTACTAAAAATGTTAAAGGGCTAAAAGATCTGATAGGTCATCATCAGTTTCAGAAGAGAAGGTTGAACAAGTTTGTGAAAAACTCAAGAAGTCTGTAAGGAGAACAAGTTTGGAAACCCAGATTCCTTGAATGATGATTTGGTTTACCAGATCCTTTAGCCCTGCATAATCAGACTTCCTCTTTACATTTTTGGTACCAAGTCCAGATTTGTTTGCCAGTTGGTGAAGTTTTTCCAAATTTTGCATTGAAGCTGCACAGTGTTGAGTGACTTGTCTTTAGGAGTGAACAGCACGGCTCAACCTGAAAACAGTACAAAAATAAAACATTAAATTACTAATTAAAATCTTGATCTGTTTCTATACATTCTGTGAACATTTGAGGTGATTTCAACAAAAATTGCCAAAATTATTGGTCTGCGAAATGATGTCAAATTTTCTGGGACAGCCTGTAGTTGTGCCACAAAGTCTGAACCAAAGGAACGGGAAACACTTTAGTAATGTAGACTAGTGGCTATACTAATGTAGGCAATCCTCAAAGCTATGAAACTGTATTTATAAAAGTGCTTCTCATACAACACTGTAACCCACAAAGTGCTTCACATGTAACACTGTGCACTATGTAACCGTTCTGGGGTCGTGAAGAGGGTTCCACCACACACATTCATAGATGAGAAATACACTGGATCACTATAATCTAAAACGTTCTAAATAAACTGGAGGAAGTGTGCGTGGAAAGTGAAGGCTGGATAAAGCAGAAGAAAAACGATGGATGGACTGTAATCTAAAATAAAACACCAAAAGGTTTACACACTCAACAGTGACTTTGAACAAAGCTTTGACCTCACCTAAATGTGCTTGATGTGTTGGTACCTGCCAGCATTTCACATTTTTATGGATTAAAGATAACTGGAAAATATACTAGTCTCCGGTGTTTCATAATCTTCCCAGACTCGCCGAGTTGTTAAGTGGATGACAGCATTAGCACTGAACGCTGTGTCTATTAATTATATCTCTGGGTTTCACCACTTGTCTCCATAGCGATGCTGTTACTTTACCTCCAATGTACAAATTAAACTGATCCATATGGCAATTGTTACATATACAGATACATTTTTACAGATCTGACCTGTAACTTGCCCTATGAGCTGCTTGTCCCAGTGGAGATTGATAAATTTAATGCCACACTATGGAACAATTTAGGCCAGGGGTGTCAAACTCATGTTGGTCCAGGGGCTGCGTCATTTTTCTGATAAGGGTGTCACGGTCAACAGTCAAAACGATCGTCCTTTAAGAGAGTTTGGAAAGAGACAAGTCTTCATTTGTGCTGCTCTGGTGGGAGGGGCCACGCACAGAAGCGCCGCAGAAAATTACCAATATTTTAATAGAAAATATAATTCAAATATTTTAGTAGAAAATCAGCTGAGGGCCAGATTAAAGGTCTTGGAGGGCCGGATCCAGCCCCCGGGCCGTATGTTTGACACCCCTGATCTAGGCAAAGCAATAGCATGCAGGTGGGGGACGCTTCTTCAAAAAAAGCAGCATTATGATCTATAAAGTCTTCAAAAACCTGTGTCATGTGATAGTTCTTATTTCTGTGGTTCATTTACCGATTTTTTTGGACTATAAGTCACTTCCGAGTATAAGTCGCATCAGCCAAAAAAATGCGTAATGAAGAAGAATAAAACATACATAAGTCACACTGGACTATAAGTTGCACTTTTTGGGGGAAATTTATTTTATAAAATTAGAGACCAGGAACCGACATTTCCTGTTGAAAGCACAAAGAACAACAGACTGTTAACGTCACAGTTCTTCAGATAAACTATAACATAAACAACAGAACAGAACAAGTTTACCAAACTCTCCATCTCACTCCAAATCACTAAATCCATTCAATTCTTCATCCTCGGTGTCACTGCTGAACAAGTCTGTGACCTCTGGAGGAAAACAGAGCACCGCTTCCTCTTCTGTGTAGCTGTCGTCAAACTCGGCTTCAGTTCCAGTTAGAATTATTCTGGCATTTCTGAATCTCGACAGGATGATTTCGGTGTCACTGAAGTCCAGGCTTTGTCGACCCTGAAAGTTGCATGTGTGTTCTCCATCCCCGCTTTCTGCCAGTCCCTCTCAAGTTTCTCGCTCACTTCAAACTTTCTTTCTGCTGCTCGATTACTGTTTTCATCTGAACATTTCAGTTGTTGCAGCAGGACAGAGGCTCTTTCTGTAGGAGCCATGCGCAGCACAGTGACGTGAAGTGGTGCAGGATTAATAGGAGCAGCAGATACTGACACACAAGACTAGAGCGCCCCCTTGAGGCTTCAGTGTGAACATTTTAATATATAATTTACAGGAAACATCCAAACGATGAAAAAAGTGTGACTTATAGTCCAAAAAGTACTGTATTTCTGTGGTTCATTTACAGCCTTTTTACAGATTATTGTTGTACTTACCTCAACTAAAATATTTACTGCCAACTTTCGCGCACATTTCTGACTCACTGGATTCTTAAAAATGTGAAAAACAGACCTAGTTCAATTCAATTTTAGTGTGTTTTTGCTGTGTGATCTGAAGTTAATCCTCATTTACCTTACACGTTCTGAGCGTCCTGTAAGCACTTTTCGGAGTTTCACCGTCACAGTAACACACGAATATGCTAACAGAGCATTTCCTGTTCTCTCCACAGTAACAGGCTTTATAATACAGTTGACTTTTTTTGACCTCAAGAGCTGCTTATACAATCTATCTGTACTGCATGAAAATACATGATCTGAATGCGTAAGACTTAAACTTACGTAATTACTTAAAAAAACAATAAAATATATTACAAGAGCTTTGATTTAAGGGAGAACGGAGTCACTAAATCATCTTGACAAACAATTAAATGTGTGTTATCAATATCTCTGTCAATAAAATCAACAGAGCTGTAAACAGAGCCTTATGTCAGCTGTTTTTTTGTTCTCAGCTTGTTGCTATTGGAAACAGAACGGTTTTTAATGAGCGCTGATTGGTGCTTATGTAAATATATTCTTATAAGCAAAACATGTCACTCATTCCTGCACTTGTTTTCTCGTTGTCAATCTTCTGTCACTGCATTCGGAGCTCCTGAAATACGCACCTATTTAAAATAAGTGTGGAAATGTTTTAGGAGAAGGATGTTGAATATAGCAGGCCCATATGACACTATTTTCTGTTTTTGTATTAATTAATTTATGTTGTATTAAGGATTATATCCATTTTGTATTAAGGATTTTAGGAGAGTCCTTGCCTCAAGTGGAGGAGTTCAAGTAGTATGAGTGAGGGGAGGACGGAGCGTGAGATTGACAGGTGGGCAGGTGCAGCGTCTGCAGTGATGTGGTCGCTGTATCGAACCGTTGTGGTGAAGAGGGAGCTGAGTCGAAAGGGGAAGCTCTCAATTTACCGTCAATCTTCGTTCCTCCCCTCACCTATGGTCATGAGCTCTGGGTAGTGACCGAAAGGACGAGATCGCGGATACAAGCACTCGAAATGAGTTTCCTCCGCAGGGTGGCTGGGCGCTCCCTTAGAGATAGAGTGAGGAGCTCAGTCACACGGGAGGAGCTCGGAGTAGAGCCGCTGCTCCTCCACGTCGAGAGGAGCCAGTTGAGGTGGCTCGGGCATCTGTTCCGGATGCCTCCTGGGCGCCTCCCTTGGGAGGTGTTCCAGGCATGTCCCACTGGGAAGGACCCCGGGACAGACGCTGGACACGACTGGAGGGACTATGTCTCTCGGCTGGCCTGGGAACGCCTCGGGGTCCCCCGGAGGAGCTGGAGGACGTGTCTGGGGTGAAGGAAGTCTGGGAGTCCCTGCTTAGACTGCTGCCCCCGTGACCTGGCCCCGGATAAGCTGAAGAAAATGGATGGATGGATGGATAGGATTTTTAAGTATAAGTAATATGGTAGTTAAATATTGTGGCATCATTTGGGAAATTTTAGACTGAATCTCTTACAAAGAAATGTTGTAGAGTGTGTGTTTAACTTTTACAGGGTAACCGCGGGGTCTTAAAAGTCTTAAAAAGGTCTTAAATTTCACGTTCCAAAATTAAGGCCTTAAAAAGTCTTAAATTATGTTGTCCAAGTCTTAATTTTTTTACAAAGGTCTTAAATTTCATTAACCTATTTTTTTGTTACTCAACCGGGCTGCAGTACAATGTTAAACAGAGGGAGGAAAAAAAAACATGTGAAGCTGAAGTTTGCCTAATAAAAATGCAAAAATGCATCTGTCACGATGTGTGTTTGGTAAATGTGCAGAGGCTAAATCCCACTGCAAAACCAGTAAAACAATGTAACTCCAGTTTGGAATTAAAAAAAAAAAAAAAACAGGTTTAAAAATCCTACCAACTTTCTTCACTTTTTTCGCGGTTTTGTGCAAAGTGCCTGGGGAAGTTCTCTTAAAGAAGAAGTTCTCAAACTGTGGGTGAGGTGCAGAGTGTTTCAGTGTAGCACAGTTTACTTGGCTTTGTAGTCGGTAGATTATTTTATTTTAACTTTTAACTCATTTTATAAGTAGCTCGCATGCTGAAAAGTGTGGACAAACCTGTTGTAGATATAGTATTTGGTTGTTCATTATTAAAATTGGATCAGGTGTTGTTCGCCCACATATTGGGTGCGATGTTGGTCTTAATTTTCATTTAAGTGGTCTTTAAAAGGTCTTAAATTGGGGGTAGTCAAACCTGGGGATACCCTGTTTTAAAGTGTCCATGCAATGTCTCTGGTCCTCCTCTCAAATTCTCTAAAACTTTAATTCTGAAATGGTCAGGTAAGGTCCATGTACCATTTCTTACCAATTCATTTGAATTTCAATTAAGAACGAAAAACAATAAAGTGGGAAAACAGTTTGTTATTTCATTATTCACACACGGCGAACTAAACAGCAGAACATGTGGAGCAAATAAACCACAGAGAATAAAATATCAGAACTGAAACAGGCACGGACTGTTTGTTGATTGGTGTTATTGAAATAAACTTTAAATTAAATATTGGTAATAGAGGTTTGACACTAAAACAGAATAATGAAATAACAAACTGTTTTCCCACTTTATTGTTTTTCATTTTTAATTGAAATTTAAAAGAATGGATGTCACACAGACCAGGTAAGAACGCTTTTGTCTTAAGTGTTAAAAGGAAAATCCAGACTGATGATCTCTGTATTTTTATGCTGAGGGAAATCAGTCTGCTTTCCATGCCCTCTGTTACGTCTATAAACTGTGTACAGAAGTGGTCTAAGGGAGACACCCACAGCATTAGGCTCCAGTCAAATGAAGCTCATGAGGCTAGCAGTTATAGGGGCAAATTTGAAGGCAAGTTCCATATTAGGAATAGAAATTTATGTACAGACAACCCTAACCCTAAAACATCAGAATCATAAAGAATGTGTTAATATATTTAATACATTTTAAGACCAAAATGACGAGGCTCACTGCAGCAGTTACAGAGAGAGGTATGACAATTTAGTTTCATGTAAAGTCAGTTGGAGACAAGGTCGATGGAGCTATGTCCATTTACAGCAGGGGTGTCTAAACCTTTTGCATCAAGGGCCACATATCTAAACACAGATGAAGCAGAGGGCTGATCGAGGGCCGTAGACTGGTGCTCAGTACAGTGAATAATTGAAATATGTGCCTGTTTAACACGTTAGATTGAGACGTCAGTCTTTATTCATGCTAAGATCCTTAAAACCACACACTATATATAAAATATTGGCTTTATCAAGGTACATTTTCAAAAAACTTGCAGTAAAAAGTTAATTTTTCATTGATGCAAGGTAATTTGGGCCAATTCACCTGGAAGCCTGAGGGCCAAGAAAAATTTGTCAGAGGGCCGCATTTGGCCCACGGGCCATAGTTTGGACATGCCTGATTTACAGGGACGTATTGGGACCAAAAAACAGCCCTGGACTTTCCTCCACAAACAGGCCAATTATAATAATGACTCATTTCAGTAAATCAGTAATGAAATTATTGAAGAAAACATATAAAGATGAAGTACTTCTGATTGTTTATTACCAAAAACACCTAAATCACTTCATTTCAAAGGGACTTTTGAAGCATTTTTGTCTTTAGCTTTTTCCCATCCACCTTCATCCTTACGTTTTCTGTTTGACGTCTTTGACACGTGTTAAAACAAACAATTAACCCACTTTTCTTTCTCACCTTTTAGGCCTCTGCAATTTATGCTTAACAAATGGGCAAATTATCATATTCACGCCCTCTGCTGTTAGTACGATCGACTACCGGTAGACTGGACGGCCGTTTTGGACTGTTCCAGAGCATTTCCATTTATAAATATAGTCTAATCAGATCTGTTTTGTTCAGTGACACTTGTGAAGTGAAGGAGCTTGTTGGTCAACTATTATTTACAAACAAAATTACATTTCTCTAAGCCATATTTGTTTTGATATGAACCAATCATGCATCCTGATTGGCTAATCCACCTGTCAATCACATGAATCGGATCTTGTGGAGATTCACCAGTGTCCAGACTCGCACTCTCCACACCATAAAGTACTCGAGAAGATCCCAACTGACAACTGAAGTGTGAGTGTGTCCTCAGAAAACAGGTCGGTTTGTGTTCATTTTAATGGTGCAACAAAATGGAGAATGACTTTTATTTCCATGTATTTCTGTAAATGTAGTTGTATATTGGTTGTGAGATGATTCCAAAATATATTTTACACATTTTTAGCCTCATAGCATAATTGTGTAAAGTCATTTTTAAGTCTATTCAGGAGAAAAGCACAAAAATAAACTCTTGCCACTTTGTTTTTCCATTGAAATGAAAACATCAGCATCTATTTTGTGCCAGATCCCAGTGGGGATCATGAGTCAGCTGCACAGTTATTTTGGGGGTCCCAGTCTCCCGTCTCAAAAGTTTGAAAACTCTTGCCAAAGCTAAAAGTAAGTAAGTAAGTAATGGTGGCGCAGATAATCCTACTTAATAAAACAGCATGACTAAACTGTTTTTATTCATTTACAGATGCTGTGATTGCAACTTGAAAAACACGCTTTGTTACTGTGAGCAGAGTCTCCACAGATCTGACCTGTAACTTCTTGGACTGTTTGCTTCCATAATGACAGGTAAGTTTAATACGATAGTGTGGAGCATTCTAAACTAATATCATCTCCATGGAGACAAGCAGTTGGCTGCTTAAAAGTAATATTACTCTATTTTCTGATTTGTGATGATGTTTTGTTGTCAAAAACAGACCTGGAGTTGTGTTTTGTTTCATTCACACATGTTTACCACACAAATCCTGCTTATTTAGGTTGAGTTTTTCTCTCAAACAGAAAACAATCTGTTCCACTTTGTCATGAAAAGCTCCACTGTGTTTTTAAATCAGAATCAGAATGCTTTTTCTGTGTTAATTTCTTCACATGTATTAGACTTACAAAGACCTGTCTGTACATTACAAACTCACAGTACAACATGACATGGGGGTGCTGGACATGGACCGGTGTTCT